GTTACAACATTGCGAATATTTTATGCCATAAGGAGCTGTTACATATCCCTCCAAAAAGCGATTAATCTTCAGTTTCATTACACTATCTATGGACGCTAAACACTGTCAAGATGCAGTTCTTATGTATTCCATTCCATCTCGACTTTATATGGACTGTAGTTATCCCGTAACTTGCTGTTTGTATATTGAAAATCGTTTTAATATAACACACGCAAACCTCTGTATAAAATGAAACTTTCTTATCAACAATAGAAAAATAAATATTAAGACGCTTTTTTTATTTTTCAAACGCCCTCTAGCGGTATGTCTGCGGACTTACAACGCTAGAATTCGAGTTTCGATACCCGTGGTGGGCAAAGCACATATTGTCCATTGTGTAGCTTTGTGCTTAACTTCAAAAACAACAACTTTTTCAAACGAGTGTCTCATAACAAAATGTTTGAAATTTCACGATGTAAAATTGCAGAAAAATCAAATTACATTATTTTTAAGTCGAAACTAAATACTTTTTTATGGAGTTTTTATTATGTTTCATACAATACGGTTAAACATTTCCATTGTGAAAAGGGAAAAAATCAGAACATTACATTATATACACCCAATCCAAAAAGGATTATTTGCAATATTGAAATTTTGTTTATAATTTTTATACGACTTTTACGTTTTTCGAGGCCCTGTAATCAATAAAATCACGGGACTACAAGTAATTTAGTTTATACATAGTTTTTCAAATATGTTCAAAGAGCTGATAATGTTAATGACCCTATCGATAATTATAAGGTTAATTGATTAGGATGAATAAGTTAACACTAATTTCTCAAACTGATTATTACAAAATTATTAAACCTTGTCAACTTAAAAAGGCGGAATAACGAACTTCGAAAAAAAAAGATAATAATAATGCTAACATTATTTCCTCAAGCTACAAATCCCTATTTTGACTCTCCTAAATATTACAGCTTTTAGACAAGAAGTCAACACTATGTCTCAAACTTTAAGCTTGTTTTTTGTTCCTATTTTTTGCGATTGCATTTTCACTTTATGCTACCTATATTATTTCTGTAATGTTTTGAAGAACCCGATTTACCCTTTTTAAATTAAAAACTTTTAATAATCTTTAGTTGAATTTATGTCCTTGAATCTGTATGATACTCTCCCAGGAAACAATGACAACCTTTGAATTGGCTTCATGCAGATGGATGACTATTGCTTTTGATATCATTGCCACAATGTTATCATTGATAGTGGTACTGTTTGCACGATCACTGATGCATGGTGATATATATATATGTATGT